ATATATATACATATGTACATGTACATATGTATATATATATATATACAGAAATTATGTTTATGTATGTATACGTATATATGTATGAATACATATACATAATTATGTATATTTACGTATATGTATATATATATATATACATATGTATAAGTACATATATATATATATATATATGTTCAGATGTATACATTTTATGTGTTCATATATATATATATATGTGTTTATGTCTGTATATGTGTATGTATGTTCTCATTATGTACTTATGTATTTATGAACAACGTGTATTTATGTATACCGTTATATATGTGTATATGTGTATTTGTACATATGTATATATTCATATACACATATGTATGTGCGTGCGTGCGTGCGTGGTATGTGTTTTTGTATGCATGTGTATTTGTTTATATGTTCACATGCATATATATATATACATACATGTGTGTGTGTGTGTCTTGTTTCGTTTGGCTAAATTTAAACAGTTGAAGTGGCATGCAGGGGGCTTGCCAGCAGCGGGGTTGCCTGGTGATTTCTTCGGCCACTATGACCGGTTTCATGTCAAGTACATGAGAGAGTCTCGGAAGAGAAGAGTTCCTGTTTTACGACTTTGCAGCTGCTTTGTTTTGCAACGTTTTCCTTGATGAGTTTTCTTCGCAAGACAGTTCCGACATGAAGCCTGTTGAGGATAGCCTGGCCCGTTCGCAGGAGCTGCTGCTTCTCACCTCAAAGTAGCGTGGAGGGAGCAGCTTTGCAGAGAGTTATTGCCCGCTCTTGAACATTGGAAAGTTTTACTAGGCGATTGCTCACGATGTACACATTGCTGAGTTATTGTACACGACAGTGTCAGTGTGGCTACATTGAGCAGGAATCCCAGATTTGGAATCCCAGATTTCTGTTGCCGGGCCTCATAGGTGCTTGTGATTATGCGTTGCAAGGCACGCCATCTATGAGTCCAAGATCCTCCCGAATTTTGAGGCTTCTTGGCGCTCACGAATGAGATGACATGACCTGCCAGCAGAAGCGGCTGGGGAGCGCCTAGTCTTGTGGTCAGCGTCTGACATGGCTGCACTGGAGTGGATGCGCTCCTAGGCAAATCTCGATCTCTGCCCTGTGGCAGTCTTGCAGACTCTAGCCTGCACTTCAGCTTTCAGTCTTCCCCACGAGCAGAGAGGACCCATGCGTAGGCCGACATACTACGCATTACTACGTAGCAGGGCGGGTATTTTGGAAGATCTGCTCTCAGCGAGGATAATGATGGATGCAGTCCTGGCGTCTTCAGTCGACTACTCCCTGGACGATGGTCGAGGTGGAGACAGCAGTCCTGAGTCGCCTTCTTTCGGACAGTTCTGAACAGCTCTGCCTCACACAGCTCCTCACAGAGACAAGTGCTAAGGCACACGGACCCCCAACGAATCCGAAGCGGGAGTGTCTCCAAGTTGAGTTCCTACAGACTAAAGGCATTACACGTGTTGCGGGATCTTGGGCGGGCTACGGTATGCTCGAAAAGAAGTCAGCGAGGCTTTACACGTCGCGCATAGCATGTGAGCTTAATGCAGTCCTCGCATCTCGATCCTGCAGGTCTTTTCGAGTTGGCCTCCCAGTTGGCAAGCTCTCTCGAGGAGGATGGTGTCGATGACGTGGCAGCTCTCAGAGAGGAGTGGGCTCAGGACACCGTCCACACGTACTCTTTCCTGCTTGGGCTCGATGAAAACCACTGTCACGGTGCAGACCTGAAAATATATGTACATCTTGCTGCACTCAGAATTCTCTTGAGCGTTGTTGCAATGCATCTTGTCATGATCGAGAGATCAGCGGTATCAGCTGTGGGTCTCAGGTCTATGATGTGCCCGAGAATCTGACACGCCATCCGCTGCATTGCGTGTTAGGACAATGGGGCACAGAAGTACTGTTCCACCAATACTTTCTCAGCTCTGCGTGCCGAACGTTGGATCCAGAGCAAGCCGAGCTTTTTTACGTACCAATTTATGGAACCTGCCTCTTCACAAAGGACGCGCTGGACAACGATGCGGATGCGTCAGAGAGGATTTGGGATCCATTGATCAGGCGCATCTTTGCCCAACCCTGGGCCCAGCGGAACAAGCTGATGGATCACATTTTTCTGTTTGCAGATGGCCAGTCTGCTCGCATTTGGGACTCGTATGACTTGGTTCGCAGTGAGGCGGTCTTCTTGATGGTGGAGTCGAAATGTCCCACATGGGACGAGCCCATGCGAAGATACAGTGACATCAAAGCATGCAGCTCCGGTTGGAAAGACATCATCATCCCTGGGCATATTGACTATGCGCGCCTGCAAGCGATGCGGCGGTACAACCGGCCGACCGCGCAGCGAGAATTGATCATGACATTCCATGGCAGCCACTCGGGCAACAAAGAGGTTTACGATCAGTGCGCGGTCAGAGACAAGGTTATGGAACTTGCCCAGTTTGCCGGAGTTGATGTGGGCCACTTGACCTGCATGTTCAGCGCTTTTTTAGTGTATCCTATTTGTTGAACTGCAGCCGGATGAGGCATGGTGTCATGACCAAGGCGGCTTCGTGCCCAACTACCTGGAGATCAAGGGCAATGCCCACTTTTGCTTGATACCTGCCGGTACCTCGCCTTGGACGAACCAGCTGTACGAGAGCATCCAGTGTGGATGCATTCCTGTTATTCTGTCTGATGAGTACGAAGTCGCCTTCCAGCATCTTATAGATTGGAGACGCATCAGCATCAAGTGGCCAGAAGCGCTGGTTGGAAAGGAACTCTACGAATTCCTTGCTTCGATCTCACTGGAGACGATAGCAGCTATGAAGGCACGAAGTGAGAGTAGCACATAGTCCACCACGAAGGGGCAGCGAGCGAAGCTAACGGCGGTTACGTCATGAATTATGCGTCATTCACGCTGTCCATCCATGAGCCCTGCTTGCTCCCTGCCTGAGGCTGATGTTGATGATCACAGCTGCTGGTTCGACTACTTCTCCACTCAGCCCGACTGTTCCCCGTATGCAGCGGTGCTCGCCGCACTAGTCGACCGTCGGGAGCGTCGATTGCAGGTGTACAGACATTGGCAGCGGTTCTGGAATGTGCCAAAGAGCGCTGACGGACAACGCGGCCACACTACCCGTAGAACCACTCGTTTCCACACACTTGCGAATGAGACGTTCCTGATGTGAAAAGACATGAAACAAAGTGTTCAAGATCGAGCAGCGAGCATGCGAGTTGGGTATTGAAATTTTCGGAACAGTTGAGGATCGTACCGGTGCACCAATCACCAATGTCACTCGCGCTGTCGGGCCCATCTGAAGTCTGCAGCGCAGTGACTCAAGGAGAAATCGAGCGGCTCAATGAAGAAATATCTGGCCTCCGTGAGAAGCTGGAGCGCTTCCAGGTGCGACTGAACACAAACATGGCTACTTGCAGTCTGGAAGGGTTGCTTGGTTGTCCCTGTAGCAAATCCCTGCAGGCAGCGCTAGCGGGCGAGCCCTCGTCAGTGCAGCAGATTGAGGACATGCGAGCCACACATCTCTTATCTAATCATAAATGAGCAACTCTTCAGTGGCTGTCAGAGCGCTCGTGCGGGCCACTAGAGCTGCCAGGAGTTGGATAGCCATTTGCGCTTCGCTTCTGCCGAGGCAGGTTCCCCTGCGTCTGCAAGGTCGCTAGTTCTGCGCAATGTAGTGGGGGTCACCACCACCCCTTCTGCTGGCCCGGCAGGGCAGGAGTACCAACACCCCCCACCCCCGCCCTGCCCCCAACTCCAACTTCAACACATGAGGTAGTAAGTGGTATGCACTAGGTCGCGAGTGAGTCATTGTGAATAGTAGTCATCTGTGGCTAGTAGTTGGTGGGGATGCTTGCTTCGAACGGGGGGATGGTGGTGAGGATGTGGGTGGGGAGTGGTGGTGAAGATGTAATCAGGGGGCCCCCGCCAGCTTGAAGCTAACGCACACCAAAAATTGAGAACTCTCACAAGGTTCAGCGCCTCCAGTCAGAGCTCGAAACTGTGAAGAAGCAGGACAGAATTGCAATGCCACTGGTGTCAGATTTATATAGATGTCGAATGGTCGAGTAGAAGCACTGAGCAGGAAAGGGCTTTGCAGAAAGGCAAAGCCAAAGAATCAGCAGAGCTGGGCAAGGCAGCCAGCTGTTTGCCCTACACGACTGTGACGCCGGCACCAGCGTATTGAAGGGCAATTCTTTATCGCCGGGTTGCAGTTCCATGCTGAGCCGGTCAGGTCCTGCAGGAGAAACAGAAGATGCAGGAGATCCTTCGGGGTGGAGTCCCTCGCATCCGAAACTCCCGGCATCGTTTGCTACTGCAGGAGGAACTGATTCGACTCCGCTCGCAGCTCCAACATCGTGAAGCCATCCCTTCCGCAGCAACCGCGCTTGCAATGGTGTTTTCGTACCAATTTGTGCAACAAATAGTTTGCCTGTACAGGGTGAAGGCCATCAGTTCAAGAGCCAGAGCTTGGTCCGAGAAGCATTTTTGATCCCTGTCGCGTCCTGCACACAAATATGGCTTTCCAAAAGAACCCAGGTGGTGCTCGCCGAGGAGTTGGAACATGCACGGAGAGATGCTGAAGCGAAAGAGCTCCAAATCCAGGAGCTGGGTATGCATTCCCCTTCATTCCCCTTCTAGCCTGTGATCTGTCTGGCACAAGGGATATTCGAAGCGTGGACCAATCTAGCTTCTCGCAAGCGGCAGTGAATGCAACTTTCTTGTTCGCTGCATCCAGCAATTGCTCGTCATTGCCTGCGCATGCTTGGATGTTTTTCGCCTGATCTATTGCATGCACTACCTGGAACGGAAAGGACTTGCAACTGGTGGGTACTCGCATGGGCTCGCAGCTGATCGAAGCCTCAGAGAAACAAAGGTGGAAGTCGGCTTGCTTGCAAGCTTCATCGAGGGGACTGGTCGGGTCGCTGCTGCAGAGCTGTGAGCCGCCTTGCAACATGTCGTGCAGGGCAATACCAACTACCATGTTGGTAAGCCTTGCCAGGCAAGCTGAGCTGATGCTGCGGCGGGTGCCGCAGATGGAGAGCGAGAACCAGCAACTCCGCAGCGACCTCTCTGCGATGCCCTTCCGCACGCTTTTCTGTGGAGGGAATGTGCTGCAAATCTAGTAGTGACATGGCGGACATGTGGAGATGGCTGCAACTCTCCAATTCGTTGATTGCGGGACTTGTTCGCTCGCTGAGGAAAGTCTCAGAGCTAGATGAAGTCAACGAGAGATTGTCGAAACTCGAGGACCTGCACCTGCCTTTTCCACTACAACTCCCCACCACGCCCACGCTACAGCACAAGACACCCACACCCGCAACACCGCCGCCACCCTCACAGCCCCACGACACCTCTGCCGCACCCCCGCACACCAACACAAAGGGCTGGCCGGATGCTGGCCGGACTAGGTGTAAGTGTAAGTTCGGTCCACCAGCTCAAAAGCGTCCGGCAAAAAATACGTTCAGCTAGAGGTCAGTTTAAAGAATTTCGTGCTCTGACTGTTTTGGCCAGGTTTTGGAAACAGGATGCTAAGATAGCTTAGGGCCTACAGTCGGTTAGGCTCGGCTAGGTTAGGACAGGTCACTGGGTAGGTTGCATGAGGTGAGGTGTTTTTCAAGTTTAGGTGACACTGGCATGAGTTTTGATTGAGCCCGGTCAGTTATGTTAGATTTATAGTTGAGTACTGTCTTGTGGGTCAAGAGGCAGCAGTGAAGTCCCTTGTCTGAAAAAACGCGGTTCTGATCCTTGAATCCCAACTCCTAGATTCCTAGACTCAAAGGCAGATACATGCGAAGAGGACACGCCGGCAGGGATGATAGACACGGAGTTTCCGGAAACAGAGAGCGAGCGAGCTTCGACACCGCTTAAGTAATTCATTGCAAGCTTGAGGTTCTCAGCTTTAACGGTGGGCTTTCGAGTTAGTGGTGTGGCGTACTGTCCTGCTTGGTGTAGCCAATGGTATTTGTGGTGCGGGTCTTTACCTTGAACCAGATTCCTTTGTGCCATCGCAAGCACAACAGTAACAGCAGCACATGTGGAAAACTCGAAAACTCCACAAGGCTTCCAGCGACCAGGGCAGAGTAGGAATGTTGATAGTTTTCTAGAAATCTGTGTGATCTGATCTAGTTCATGCCCGGCTGCCTTGCAGCACAAGTCCTGTTTTGTTCAGGACCAGCTGAGGCGACGCGAGGACGATGAAGATCAACTCCTGTGTTTTTTAGGGTGCCTGTGCCGATCATGCTTCTGCACATGCTCGGGATGCGGATTTTGAGTTCCACGACAAGGAGGCTGCGCCGGAGCTCACGGCTGCGGAGCTCCTGGCAACAGAGGCCGAGCGCCTGGAGGAGGAGCAGCAATGTTGGAGAGGCACAGAGGGAGTGAAGAGACTCGGTGACTTGTTCGGCGCTCCAGTGCAATGTTTGGGGCTGGAGTTCGACTGGACAGATCGAAGATGTAAGGCTTCCTCACCAGCGGCATTCAGGCTCAAGTCCTTCCGCGCAACCGCCTCCCACGAAACATGAGTGCTGGCCAGGTGTCGAAGAAGAGGAAATTCGTCGCAGATGGAGTCTTCAATGCAGAGCTGAACGAGTTCTTGGCTCGGACCCTGGGTGAAGACGGCTACGCTGGTGTGGAGGTGCGAGTGACGCCGATCCGGACCGAGATCATCATTCGTGCAACACGAACTCGCGAGGTTCTTGGGGAGAAAGGGCGCCGCATCCGAGAGCTCACCGCTTTGGTGCAGAAACGTTTCGGATTTCCAGAGAACAGCGTGGAGCTCTTTGCCGAGCGTGTGGAAAACCGTGCGTCCTGTGCCATGGCCCAGTGCGAGTCCCTGCGCTTCAAGCTCATCGGAGGCCTGGCGGTGCGACGCGCGTGCTACGGTGTCTTGAGGTTCATTATGGAGAACGGAGCCAAGGGCGTTGAAGTTATCATCAGTGGCAAACTTCGTGCTCAGCGCGCAAAGGCTATGAAGTTCAGGCAGGGCTACTTGATTTCCACCGGCGAGCCGAAACGCCACTACATCTCGGAGGCCGTCCGGCATGTTCAGATGCGACAGGGAACCATTGGCATCAAGGCAACTTCTCTTGCAAGTAGGAGATTTCTGAATCATTTAATAAACCAGCCTTACAGGCCTGCCGGGACATCTCTTCCCAGTTCGCCATAGCGTAGAACTTAGAACTGATGAGCGGCCGAGGTGAAGATCATGATGTCGCATGATCCAGAGGGAAAGATGGGACCCAAAATGCAGCTTCCAGACAACGTGATCGTCCACGAGCCCAAGGACGAGACGCCCATGATGATGCCTCCGCAGGAGAGGTTGAGAGTGTAGTTTCCGTCATAACGACGGGTAGCTTTTGAGTGCTTTTTGCAGGTGCTGACCGCTTTCAGGGAGCAGCTGCGGCAGTGGTGGTAGTAGCACACTGTCGTAGTAGTAGTGGTGGTACTAGTAGTAGTAGTAGTAGTAGTAGTAGTAGTAGTAGTAGGTTTAGTAGTAGTAGTAGTAGTAGTAGTAGTAGTAGTAGTAGTGGTAGTAGTAGTAGTAGTAGCAGTAGTAATATTAGTAATAGTAGTAGTAGCAGTAGTAGTAGTAGTAGAAGCACCATAGTAGTAGAAGTAGTAGAAGTCGTCGTAGTCGTAGTCGTAGTCGTAGTCGTAGTCGTTGTCGTTGTCGTTGT